AAAAAAAAAAAAAAAAAAAAAAAAACCCCAAAAAACAACAACAACAACAAAAAAACCCAAAAAAACAAAACAAGACATCATTCTGGGCTACCTGTGACTGAAGAGGAAAGGAACAGACTCTGAGATGTGTGTGTGTGTGTGTGTGTGTGTGTTATATGGTGTCGGAGGCCACGGAGATTGTGTGGCTCGAAAGAAGGAGGTATGCAGGAGAGACACTGCAGCGCCCGGCTGTGGGGGCACAATTGTTACTTCCCCTTTTGCCAGTCAGCATCTTCCTCTTTGGAAACAGCACCCTCCTTATCATTTGAGGGAACAGCTTCTCACTGACTAAGCTCAGACTCTTGAGATGAGGCCTTTCCCGCAGGCACAGGAGCTAGTTCACAGCAGGCAAAAAGCCCAAGCCCAGCATCTATGTAAATGGATTTCAGTTCCTGAAGGATTGAAACCCACTGAGAGAGAAAAACCTTGTTCTCTATGATAGTGTTGTCATGAGGCCTGGGGTAGGGTCACTGGGACTTTCTTCTCAGTGTGGGGGAAGTGAGGAGCTGCAGGGAAGCATTTGCCTATGTTTAGCCAAGAAAAGTGAAAATGGGGAGAAGGATGGAAAGAGGTGAAGTGGGGTGCCTCATCCAAGCTCTGGAGATGACAACACCCCTGCACTTGTTAGTTACATGAGCCAAAAAACTTCATTTTTTTTTTTTTTTGCGAGCATCTGGGATTCCCAATTGAGAACCCTGTGGCCCAGTTATCTGTGGCCCAGGTAAATATGATTCCTTGTGCTTTGAGTCTGTTGGACACTCTGTGGTTCTCCAACATACAACTAATCAAGGAAAGATGGATTCCTTGGCGTGTGATAGGAGAAACCAAAGCAAGAGAGTATAAAACTCAGGGTCAGGAGACAGAGAAGCTTGTAGGAGACCCTGGGGAGCCTGCCGCATCTCATGGGAGGGGCGTGTGCGGTTCAAGGCTATTTTGAAGGATTGTCCAAGCCACCTTCTGCCCTAAAGCAGCACCCAATGTCTGGGAAGTGCTGTATTCTCCGTCTTCTGCTCCTACATGGCCTGGTTTGACACACACCGGGCTGTGGGTCCCCACGTGGCCTG